CCATGATTAAAGGTTCCTAGATAAAATTTTGTACGTGAAAAGCCGTGTGATTTGTATAATACCTATGTTTTTACAATATTTGTGATTTGTCTATATCTATACACAATATAAAGTGGAAAAAATCTTCCAATATTCACTTTTGATGGTGGTCCCTGATAGAAATTGGGATCTAGTTGATACTTTTGAGAAATTAAAATTAAAAATTCTCAGTAACTCAATATTTTTCGAAATAATAGGAAAAAATTGTCATACTGTGTGAAACCATTTAACCAAATTAAGTATCAATATAAAATGGTATAGTTAATATTATATAACTATATAAGTAGGTGCCTATAAAGACTAAACTCTACTATACGACGAAATGTCGGAGTCAAATCAAATTTAATCAATCAATTAACTTAATAATCATTATTATTATTTTTCTAAATGTGATTTACAAGTAGTAAGATATCACTATAAATGTCAACTGTCAAGTGTTAGCATATTATAATAATATTTATAATTTATAGGTACCAGCTACCTATATTATACAACTAGATATTTTGTTTATTCTTTATTTTCGTTTTGAATCAATCAAAATATAGGTATATTAAACATTAAACTAGGTATTAAAAATAAAAACTTTCAATCGTACTTTCGTAAATTATAATTATTAAAAATTATAAAAAATTAAGGAAAAGCCGGGACTTTAACGCTAGACCAGTTTTCGACAAAATGTATTTAGTATTTATGTTGTAAAACTATAAGTTCGTAAAAAGTATGTTAACAAATTAATGTTTATAATAGGATGACCATTTATTTACTTACGTCCCCCCCCCCCCCCCAAGAAAAATCTATAAACAAATTTTACAAATATTTAGCACGTAATTCGCACGAATTCGCACTCCTAGTTATAAAATTCGTACGACCTTCCTTCCCTTCAAATACAAAAAATTCATTTTTATTCAATATAGATTTTTTATAAAGATTTTTTGTCAAGATGCAATTTATATTCAATATAGATTTTTTATACAGGACTTTTTTCAAGATAGAATTTTCTTCAATCAAGATATTTTCAATTGTACTTCAATTTTAGATTCTGAATGGAACGATAAATGTATTGATTTTACAATGATGTTTGTTTTTTTATTTTTTTATTTTTTTTGTGTCTGTGTAAACGATAAGTAGTCGAAATAATGCTTCGATTTTCAACTTTAGTATCTTGTTCGATTGGAAAGTGAATATCGTTGGTGCATTGGGGAGATCAAAATTTAAATTTCACAGTAGTTTTTAAAAGCGCCGGGAAAAACAAAAGAAAAATTAAGGAAAAACGGGAATTTTTACGCAAAATCTGTTTTCGAGAAAATCGATTTTGGTTTTTGGTGTAGGTACCTTTGAAACAAATGACCGTAGATACATGCAATTTTCAGTGGTTGTTTATATTTGCATTTTCTATACACGATAAAATTTTCAAAATATTTTGATTTATTTTGAACTCTTTAGGGACATTTTCAGTTTCCAATTTCATTTTTTTTTTTTATGAAAATCAATAAACATTTATTTGTTGAGTAAAAATGGCTCCTACTATATTGTTTCAAAGACAGATGAAAAATATTAAAAATCGTTAGTCACAGTTTTTTTTTTTAAGCATATAAAGTTCAAAAAATGACAAAATATGGAAAAATCACGAGAGTTTGCAAATTATTTCGAGTTAGAAATCCATAAAATTTTTTCTTTTTAATTCTAAGATATGAAAATGTAATACAAGCTTCCTTATAAGATTTCTTACATTTATCAAAAATAAAAATTTTATAAGATACTCAAATTAAATTTTTATGAGCGTTTGAAGTTCAAATGTTTACAACATTGGATGTTCACTCGATTTCTCATGTAGCGATTTCCTTATTTTGTTGTTATTCATAAACGAATACCTATAGATACATGAAAATTTCAATGAATGTTTATATTAGCATTTCCTATACACCATACAATTTTGAAAATATTTTGACTCTTTTTGAGCTGTTAACGGATATTTTCATTTTTCAATTTTTTTAGTTTTTTTTTCTATGAATATCAATAAAGTTTTATCCGTTGGGCCATAAAGTGTAAAAATGTAATACGAGGCTCTTGATATATTGTTACAATATCAGTTGAAAAATATTAAAAATACTTAGGCACAGTTTTTTTTTATAAGCATTTAAACGTCGAATTTTAACAGAATTTTTCAAAATCTCGAAAATTATTAATCATCGTAATTAATAAATTATAAAATGTTCAGTTTTTATAGCTAAGGATTGAAAATTGAAAACAAGATTCCACGTAAGTATTTAATTCTCTTACCGGAAAATCTGAAAAATATACAATCACAGTTTATTTTTATAGTCATTTTATGTTCAAATTTGGACGAAATTACATATTAAAAAACCTAGTTATTTTGTTGTGATTATATAATATTATTCATGGGTACCTACTTGAAACTTCTAAAGTGTACTATTATATATCTATGATAGTATCAAGGTTTGTTATTGATGTTGATGTATAACGTGTTATAAGTACCTACCTAATGGATATTGTGATAATGTGATATGATTAATTTGGAATTTATTATAGGTAAATTTTTTTTTTAATACCATAGATATGTATAAAATTTGTCTTAAACCTAGACTGACATACCGTCTTCGCTCAGAATCGTTTTTCTTATACAATGATATTGTATCATTGAATTAAAATTTAACAGCATCCATTATACAGTGACCCACTTGTAACCTACTGTACAGCAGAGCGATATCCACTTACCCACCTTTTTTTTTTTATTAAATACAGTTGTCTATTAAGCTTTTTATTTAAAATAGATTGCTTATTAAAAATCGATTATTTTTTATTAAGGACAGGTATTTTACTATCGTTTTTTTTTTTATAGATTTTTTATTCAAGTATTCATTTTTATTTAATCAAAATTTTTTTTATAAATTAGATTATTTTTTATTATCTACATATTTTCAAGGGTTTTTATAGACTTTTTACTCAACTAGGATCTTTTTTAGGTTATACACACTATTATAATTAAATATTTTTCTAAACCTAAAATTATAATCTTGATTGAATAAAAATGCCTAGTTGAATAAAAAATTTATAAAAGAAGGCCTGAGTAAAACACATATAGTAAACAAAAAATAATCAATTTTTAATAAACAATCTATATTAAATAAAAAAACCTTAATAAAAAATTGTATTGAATAAAAAAACTAATGTGAGTAGGTTAGAAAAAAATCTGGATTCAATAAAAAATCTATCTTGATTAAAAAACTTTATAAAAAATCTATATTGAATAAAAAAAATTGATTGTATAAATAATCGAAAAACAAAAAATTCACGGAGGGGCAGGAACACGTCTCGCTAGCCCCCCCCCCCGACATTTATCACGTAATTCGTACATAATTCGTCATTTTGAACTTTAATAGTTCGTTACATTTCATTAAAGTTCAAATCGATTTCACCTGTTCGCCTCGGTTATAAAGTCGCCAACACCGCACATTCGTTTTGCCCCGACATTGAGGTGTTCTTTAAGTGTTTAGATGTTTTTTTAACCTAACAGATGGTTTATTGACAATTACTTCACACCACGGACTATAGTAGCTGATATCCTAGTAGATTATGACTATATGGTTATATACCTATAAAGTACATCTTAGTCCATGCTTCACACATTTACACATTATACCTACTTACATGCGCTTCTAGTCCGAGCGTTACCAATTACCATTGCAGTTCGCTTAGATATATGTAAAACCCACCAAACACACACCAGCACTACGAGTCCAAAGTCCACCCACAAACCGTAACATTAGAACAAATACTTAATTAAAGTCCAAATTAACTTCACCTCTTCAAATAACAAGGTACCTACCTAAGTGCTAAGGTGTATGCTAACGCAACATGTGGTTCAGTTTCACAGTAGGTAGTACTCGTGTTTCTATACTTTCTAATCCAAGCGTCACTGTTGCAGTTGACTTTTAAGTCAGAAACACCGACCACACATCAGTGCCACCCGTCCGACCGTCCATCTGTCACTGCTCGGCGTCACATCAAATTATCAAGACAAGTTGTCACCGAGTGCCGGCGTGAAAATCATGATCATAATTACAGGGCTCCGTACCAGAACTGATAGGTATTGGTAAATCGGGGGACTGTGACCACGGCTGCCTCTGTCACCCCGTCCGCATATTACCAAAGTGTACATGGTCTCGGCACTAGGTATAAAATAAAACAATTTCATTGGCCCGTTCAAAATATTATTTTTACCGCGCTTTTTGCCGCTGATATTTTGATAACAAAATTTTTATCAATTACACAATATGCTAGGTATATAATAATAATATAATATATCAATATATATCTATATGTCTATATATAATATAATATGTACCTTTTTTAACTTTTTTAATAATTACTATACTTATTATACACAATAATACTAATTTATATTTGTATAATATCTATAGTACTGAGTAGTAAAATATACTACTTAGTACCTAATAGGTACCTTTTTTAATTTTTTTAATAATTAATATACTTATTGATTTATATATAAATGTATAATTATTATAAATCAAAAATATAAAGTACCTTAGGTATAGGTACTTTCCATTAACAGGAATTTTGGTTAGAAGGAGCTTTGGTCAAAAAAAAATAGTAGGTACCAATTCTAAGTATGTGGTACACAACTGTTATACATTCTACAAATACCAAAAAGTACCTACAATTGTATAGTGTAAAAAATACAACAATTAATATTTAAATCAATTTTACTAAAATATGGAAACATAGTACATACTTACAATTCATACATTGTAGTACCATGATCCAACAATAGTTATGCATGTAGGTATGATTTATAATTTTAATTATATTTTTTTGTATTTTATTTATTTATTTTTTTGCAATAAATTACTTAACTGAATACATTTAAATATTGTCACTTTTTGCCACCTATTATGATAATCACAATTACATGTTTATTATTAATGACTAGTTCCATGGGATTTAGCATTTGGTTGATTCATTTTAACATTAATTTGTAAACATCTCTGTCGTTTATTTTTTTTAACTTTTTCATTTGATGGTGGCCGACCTACTGCTAGTCTCTTGCTTCCCCTAGTTACTTCTAACCTTCGACGGCTTATTGATGTTGGCTGAACATGTATTTTAGCTTTAGATACATGTCGAAGAGGTATCTGTTTCCCTTTGGTAGATAAAAATGTTTCCCAAGACGTTCTTGTTTTAACATTTGTTAATTTTTTTAAATAGGTATGCAGTGCATCAGTTGATGATCCAAATTTGTTGTGATGTTCTGTCATAAGATCAATAATTTCTTTGAATTTAGTTGCACTTGTTGTTGAATTAATTTTGGCTTCTGAATCCATATTGTCTGTAATGTCATAGGTATTAATTGAAATTGAATTGTTTTGTACGTTTTGGTATTCATTTGAATTTACTGTATTTTTGTTTTCATTTAGATCATTACTAAGATTACATTCTAAAGACTCATAAAATGATATTGGTAAAGCATTTTCTCCAAAAGCCAAAATTGCCATAGAATGTCTACTCTCAGGCGTAACTGGTGGCATATTTGGTAACTTTTGTCCATAAAAAAAATAAACAGCTCCCTGATGTTTACAAAAACTTCCCAAACGTCCTTTCTCACAGGTACAGCATCCTAAAGATATATTTACTTCATACATTTCACCTGTTTTTTCACTAGGTACATCAAATATATTATTGTCTAAACTTTTAATATTTTCAACTGCTAAGTATCCAATTTTTCTTTTTATTGTATTCAAAAATAAGCGTGCTATATTACATCGGCCATTACAAAATTTTCTTATGCGTCGGATATAATACTGTTCCATCACAGTGCATGTGAAATCAATCAAGGAAATTACATTATATGCCTTATTTCGAGACAAAACTATATCCTTATAAATCCTAACACATACCTCACTGAAATTATTAGTTTGATGGCCATGGGTTTCATAATTTCTAAAAGAAAGACACCATATTTCTTTACGGCTCCAATAAGAATTAAGATACTTAACCCAATTAGGATATTTCAAAACATACTCATTGCTAATATCAATTGCAATCAAATAAGCATTAATTGCCATTTCAGCTGTTGGCGCAGTCAACATTTTGCTGAAATAATTGTATAAAATTGGGCGATCACTTTTATCAATATTATTTTCGCTATTCCACAACCATCTCCATATTGCCTGTGAAACATGAAAACGGCATAGTAATTGTTTAGATTGAGGCCATACTACTTTTAACGCTTCCCTTTCTGCTTTACTATCATCTGTGATGAATATTTTTGGAAATTGTTGACCACCAAATCCATCAATACCAAAACATTTTTGAGCTAATTTAAATCCATTTTCATAATCAACAAATGACTGACCCTTTGTAATTATAACTGCCAACGGAACAGCTCCAACAGCACAAGGTGTAAGCATAAATGTAATTGAATGATTATGAGCATCACACGATGCTGTACTATCGACAAATACAATGTCTTTTGAATAAGACAAAGAATGTGCACGTTGCATTAAAGGGGTACAAATTACAACTGAAAATGGATCTTCATTAATCATTACTTTAATTCCATTATTTTCATAAGATGACATTTTTGATTTGAGCTTCTAAAAAAAAAATATATTATTTTCATGAATATTCTGATTAATATTAATAGTTTATACTTATTAGTTATTAGTTATTTCATTTAATAACAGTACCTACAACCTACGTCCTACATGCCAATTATAAAAGAATGAAATACATGGAGGGATCAAATTCCCATCTTATTAAAATATAATTTCATGAAGAGAAAAATATATATAATATCTGTATGGTTATTTATTATGTAACCTAACACTCTTTGATTACCGAGTATTGTATGTTTACATTTAATTAAATAATAAAGTAATTGTAATGTTTTTAAGTTGTTGAATTTGAATACCTAATTACTTTCTATGTATTTTAGTAAAATAGTCTAAGCCTGGTAGGTACTTATTAGTTATTTAGTTATTCCTAGAGCGAGGACTTTTATACACTAAAAAATCATCTTATATTATATGCTTTCAAAAATATGCACTTATACAGTTATACATCAAAAAATTAAAGACATGCAGTTTATAATATGCCTTAAAAAAATACACGCACATATTAGATTAAAAAATAACATTTTTACTTAAAATATTTTTAAAAAACTTTCAAAATATGCGTTAAAAACTTTTGATGCATTTGATCACAAACGTTGTGATATATATTTGTACTTACCAAGCATACGATGAAGTTTTCCAGAATAAATATGCAAATGTATGAAAGTCCTTGCTCAGCTAGTTATTACATTATATTAGGTACTTATTACTCAAATTTACACAACTTGCATATAAACATATAAATATTTAACAATTAGCAAAATAGCATAGGTAATAGCCAATAGGTATCTGTATTCTGTAAGAATGCAACTAAGTTTTGACTTCCTAGTTCAACTAATATCTAATAATATTATTAATTATTATTTACCTAATTACCTCTAAAACACCTATGCCGATTCTTGGGCCTAAATTATTTTGTCTCCATGTATCGTGCCAATGCTGGACCGTTCTATACTTAGGGTTTAATGATGCGTTAGCTATTGCAATTTCATTACCCTCAAGTTCCAATTTGCCTTCATGGTACATAATGGCTTCTGTAATACCTATAAAAGCATATAAATATTTAAATTTGTAATATATTTCTAATAATATAGGTAGATATTCAATCCAAATAAATAAATAATAAAAAGAAAAAAATTACCATGTCCATCACTGAAATAACATTCAAATAATTTTCTTGTCTCTTCAGAACTTCTGAGATTGCCTAATGCTTCTGCTGTATTTATGGTGTGGGAATGCTGAAAGAATATATGAATTTCTGCCACTAATCCTTCCTAAACAAATTAAAAATACATAACATAATACACTGTGCTACTATTTAAAGCCAGCATTATAGAGTTGCATATAATAGACATGATAAAATAATATAAAAATATTTTTAAAAAAAAATAGAAATATACCTTACCTACCTACTAATGTATAAAGTAATATAATAAAAGAAACATTTGGTTGAAATTATTTTTACAAACATTTAATTTTTAAATATTTTAATGAAAAAATGTAGATACTTTACAGTTTACATCAGTTTATAGTTTGTAGTTAGGTTATATGATAAATACCTAATAATGTAAGTAAATATTATATAATATACAATGTATTTGAGAGTAGAACAAATAATTATTAAAATATCAATAGGCACATAATGCACTAAGTAACTATAATAATATGCTATTGTACATATTAAACTGTGCAATAATATTATAATCTACATGTATTATTATTCTTACTTTAACATATTTATCCTTCTTGACAGTATCAGTAGTTGTTTTTTTAACTTTAATACTAATTTTAGCAGGGCAACTCATATTTTTAGATTTTTTTAGATTTTTGTCTTTATCAACTTTTTTGAAACTGCTGTGATGGCATACATAATCCTTTCTAAAATATAAATGTAGAATACTTATGAATATTATATTTACATTACACACTTTATTATTAATTCTTTAAAATATACATACCTGCATACAAAACGTTCACTAATTTTATTGGAGCTTCTTACGATCCAACTTGTGGAAGTCAGTGATGAAAATTCATTTACCCATTTGTCACATTGTTCAAAATTTAGTATATTTGAACGAAGTGTATAGTTATTTCCACTAGAAATATCCAAAATTTTGTTAACAAACGACGTTGGTAAATTTGACAAATTTAAATAGGAAGACGATTCCATTTTAAAAATTCTAATAATTTAACCTATATAATCGTATCATAATATTATAAATATTATAATATTCTAATCAATAATATAGGTAGTATCATAATATAATATAATATATACTATTCTATTTTAAGACTTGATGTTTTAGTAGTTGATACTGGAATTAATACTTGATACTTGATAAGTGATAATAATTATGAAAACATTTTGAATATCGAATAATGATATAATAAGAAGCAAACAGTGAAAATTTAAATAAATTAATGACACACAAACAATTAAAAAATATTTTTAATTACTTTATACATTAAGGTGTTTTTATTTATGTTTAAATATGGTTATATTATTTATATATATAATTTTTAACAATTAATAATAATATTTTGAACTATAGATTATAATAAAAGGTACCTATTACCATAGAACAATAATAAGAACCTATCTAATTTAATAATATGATTCATGAAACAAGGTATTACCACTGATCCACTGCACACCTCTTTAAAAAAATTAACAAATGTTAAAACAGGCCAACATAAATAAGCCATCAAAGGTTAGAAGTAACTAGGGGAAGCAAGAGACTAGCAGTAGGTCGGCCACCATCAAATGAAAAAGTTAAAAAAAATAAACGAAAGAGATGTTTACAAATTAATGTTAAAATGAATCAACCAAATGCTAAATCCCATGGAACTAGTCATTAATAATAAACATGTAATTGTGATTATCATAATAGGTGGCAAAAAGTGACAATATTTAAATGTATTCAGTTAAGTAATTTATTGCAAAAAAATAAATAAATAAAATACAAAAAAATATAATTAAAATTATAAATCATACCTACATGCATAACTATTGTTGGATCATGGTACTACAATGTATGAATTGTAAGTATGTACTATGTTTCCATATTTTAGTAAAATTGATTTAAATATTAATTGTTGTATTTTTTACACTATACAATTGTAGGTACTTTTTGGTATTTGTAGAATGTATAACAGTTGTGTACCACATACTTAGAATTGGTACCTACTATTTTTTTTTGACCAAAGCTCCTTCTAACCAAAATTCCTGTTAATGGAAAGTACCTATACCTAAGGTACTTTATATTTTTGATTTATAATAATTATACATTTATATATAAATCAATAAGTATATTAATTATTAAAAAAATTAAAAAAGGTACCTATTAGGTACTAAGTAGTATATTTTACTACTCAGTACTATAGATATTATACAAATATAAATTAGTATTATTGTGTATAATAAGTATAGTAATTATTAAAAAAGTTAAAAAAGGTACATATTATATTATATATAGACATATAGATATATATTGATATATTATATTATTATTATATACCTAGCATATTGTGTAATTGATAAAAATTTTGTTATCAAAATATCAGCGGCAAAAAGCGCGGTAAAAATAATATTTTGAACGGGCCAATGAAATTGTTTTATTTTATACCTAGTGCCGAGACCATGTACACTTTGGTAATATGCACCCCGTCCATATAAAATTATGATTCAGTTATTGTCGCCACAATAAAGAAATTCTGATATGAGCGCCACATATCCAATTTTTTTTATTTATTAATATATTTTTTTATATTATTGCTCTGTGATTAATATTAAACAAACTAGACATGACGGGACACGGATGCATTGTACCAGGATGTAGATCTGGTCACGATTCCTGTGTAAATAAACATTTTTTATAAGAAAACATTGTTCTTTATTTTCCCATGTTTCAAGCATTGCGAAGATTTCGGTTTTCCCTAATTTGTTGTTTGTTTTTCCTAACTATTTCTGATTACTTGGAACCCTCAAGGCTCAAAGTACAGAACTAGATTCATTTTCCAACCAGAAAAGATGCTGTAGAAGAAAATTAAAGTATATTTATTGTACTAAAATTTGAAGATGTATACAAAAATAAAAACAAAAATAAAAAAAGAACACATCACTCAGAATCTAAAATAAATTAAGATTTTTTAATTTAATGTTATATTTTATACTATATTGGCATGTAAAAATTGTCAATCAGACATAACTTTGTATTTTTAAATTCGTTGTTCGTCATTTTCGTATACTCAATATAATGAGTAATAATTTATAACGATTAACGACAGCACGACAAAGAATAACAAATAATTATTTAGTGATTATTTTTTTTTCCGTCAATACTCTATAGTGTATTGTGTACTGTGTAGCACAAGAATAAATGAAACGAATAAAATATAAAAATTACCTTATCACCACTAGTGAATATAATATTTATAATTCATAATTTAATAATAAAATAAAATGTTCTAAGATAATTTTATTGTATCTTCTGTTTATTTGGAACATTGAAAATGCAACAATTTCTGTATCCAAAATTGGAAGAAAGGATACTAGTCAGTCACTCAGTTAATATTCTACATCAGGCTATTGGTAAGGTATGCAGAGTTGCAGTGTTCTATACTTCTATACACTGCACAGCAATCAATATACAATCCAAAATGTCAATATTTATTTCTATTAATTTTTAATTTTTCCTAAATCCCGCTATTTAAAAAAAAACAAGGAGAATGTAAGTCTTTTTAATCGTATCACACGCGGATCACGGATGATAATAGATAATATTGTTAATCACGATTCACGAATCTCGATTCTCGATATTTGATTTTAAATTATTATTTACTTATTAATATACTTATTACCTATTATACTTCTGTAACTTATGATTCATATTAAAATATTATAGTTAAAGTTATTAGTTAAAATATTTATTGTTTAATATAATATATTAATATATTATTTTATATAAGTCTCATAAAATAATAAAATTTTTATTTTGTACAATACCTATATTATAATGAGACTAATTAAGTTATAATTTAAACAAAATGGTTTTAAGAGCGTATAATGAAGAACTAGCATATCTAGAGAAAAAAATCTCCATATAAATGCAAAATAAAGAAAGGATTTCAACCAAATATGAGGGCAAGTATTTGGATGGTAATTATGGACTTTGCTTGAAAAGTTTGTGGTGTTAATTAGAAAATGTTAATTTTTTATAGGTTGAAAAGTATTTTATGTTAATAAATTGTTGGAAAAACTTATGTTGGAAGAGTTACAAAATTAATGTCGACCAGGAATGATAGGTGGACTTTTACCTGGAGTTAAACAAATTGCTAATGTAGCTGCGTCACCTGGCATTGTTCATAAATCTATATTACTTCCAGATGTACACTCTGGTTATGGATTTGCTATAGGTTGGTTTATTGTAATTTTTTACTTAATATGTAAGGAAGTACAGTGTACTTTTGAATGCCCTCGTAATTGGATGGCTTATTATTCACAGATAAACAAATTCCACACATAATCTGCTAAATTCAAATTGAAACAAAAATTCAATGATTAAATTATTAAAAAATTATAATTATGTAAATCTTGTAATGTAATATAATATGTAGTATTTAAAGAAAATTTAATGAGAACCACTTTTATTTTTATATTTTGAGTTAACCGACAACCTGATAACGTGTGTTGTACATTAATTGCATTTGGTCATGTACATGGTTCGTTCTACAGAGCGGATGATCGAGAGTACACTATAGTTTAATTTAAAAATGGTTCTTACTGGGATTTTTATATAATATTATTAGACATACAAACTACAATAATTATTAATAAAAATTGATTTTACTTATAAATGAGCAATAGTTTATGTACAGTTATTAGTTTCACGTTGTATTTATTTTTATTGTTCTTTATAATTATCTTTTTGTTTTTAGGAAATATAGCTGCATTTGATATGGATGATCCTCAATCTATTGTTTCAAATGGTGCTGTAGGATTTGACATTAATTGTTTTGTACGATAACTCTGTACAAACTAATTCAAAAAAGATGTCCAGCCCATTAAAGTAATAGTATAAATTATTATTATAATTTAATTTTTATCATCAAAATATTTTCATATGTAATATTACAACAATGCTTTTTAGGGACAATTATCTCAAGGCATGTTTCATCATATTTCTGTTGAGTAAGGATCAAAATGAATCATACCGATAAATGCAAACGACTTAGAAGGAGCACTTGAAATTAGGATGGATTGGTATCTAAGATAAGGTAAATATCAGGTTATATAAATAAAAATTTTAAATTTTATTTTAAAACAATTATATTTATACCAAGTAAAGCATGGGCTGAAGACAAAGAATATTTTGTAGAAAATGGTAGAATGTTGAATGCAGATTCGTCTAATGTTAGCATGAGGGCTAGAAAACAAGGTCAAGCGCAGGTAAATTATTAATTAAGAATATTGCATAGTAAAGTTAAGTCAGGCATGTCAAACTAAAAGTATTAACTGAGGTAAATATATTGAATTTTTTAATATGTGGGCTGCACATAAAAACGTATTGAAAAATATAATATTTTATTCATTACTTATAACACCATATAATATTTATTCGATTACAGTTTATCAGAATATAAGACAGAATAGTAGCATAATGTATACTTATCTCTAACAAAGTTGTGACACTAAATGAGAATTTTAGATACTCTAAATTTATATCATATGTTTACTTTATCAATTCCTCTTGATAAAATTTGAAAAATTTTGATTCGTTTTGAGCGGTTTTCAATATTCAATTTTTTTAGTTTTTTTTTCCTATAAATATCGATAATATTGTTTTCGTTTGATCAAAAAGCTTGAAAATTTAATATAAGGCTCCTGATATATTGCTTCTTTAGAAGATGATAAATATTAGAAATACATATTATGCACAATTTTACTACTAAAACCACTAAATATACTTAGTAATATATCATAGGACGACTGACCGTCTTTACTCAGAATCGTTTTTGTGTACAATGATATTACATAATTGAATTTGAATTTGACACCATCCATTACTGTGACCCACTTGTAACAGTATACAGCAGAGTGACATCTACTTTCCCACATTTTTATATTTTTTTATTAATTTATTTTATAAAATTACAATTGTCCATTAATATTAGCATTTGGTAGCTATAGTAGCTACGTTCTGTTTTTTCATAATTTCACTGAAATTCTCAATTTAGTGTCTGAATCTTTTAAAACAATACAACATGAATACAGTGTTAGTTGACAGTTGTCGACAAATTTTAATTTCTATAAATGTTTAATTTTACATTGTAAGATTGTGCAGTTTCAGCTACAATGGTGTTACTGATATTAAGAAGTTACAGCTTACAATTTGTTATACTTGCATACATTTTATAAACATTTTTTTGTGCATATTTTAACTTTTTAAGCATGTTCTTTAGTCAATTAAAAATCATTTTTAATGAATATTGGCCGGGAGTCAGTGTATCTAAATCCATCCTCCTAGAACATTTTTGTAAATTAAAAAATAATTTATTTACATTTATTGAATTAAAAAGCAATACTGATATTTTCAAAACTTATACAGAAAATACATGGCCATAAATGGTTATTGAGAAATAAATACATTTGTATAGTATATTAATTATAATTAATAAAAAATAACCAAGTAGTAAATATTATGATTTTATTGGAAAGAAAGATGTATTTTAGACTTTTTTTATTTAAGATGTTTTACTGGAAATGGAAAAGGCTATGAAATGGGACCAAATTAAAGTTAACGACAGACAATTAGCTTGTGCTCGTATAAATTCCAATGAAGGTCAAAATTATTTTAAAGCCATGTCAGCTGCTGCAAATTTTGCTTGGGTGAATCGAAGTTCAACAACATTTTAGTTCAACATTTTCAAGTATGTATTCAAGTTTTTAACAACAATATTATTAATTTGTTCATAAATAAATAATTAGGATTTTTTTTTTTTAAAGGCTTTTGCAAAACAATTCAAATTGACTCCAAATTGCTGTTATTAAATTATAAAAATAAGTTTTCTTTACCTCTATAATTTATAAATTACATCTAACTACACATTTATTTTGTACTACATGTTCATAAACCATATTCATATTATGTAAATATTATACCTGTATCTATTGTCATTTACTATTGGCTATAATGCTATGTAAGTGCCACAATATTCATAGAATTTTGTTTTGGCAATATTCTAGTATTATTGAGTTATGAATATTAAGCTATACATGTCATTATATTTAAATTGCTTAGTAAAATAAGTAATAATTGAAATATACGATTAAATTGAAATTTGAAGTTCAAAAGTGTATAAAAAAATTATGCCAATGTATTTTTGATATTTTTAAATTGTAACTATATAAAAATTAATTAGTTCCTTGTGCGTTTAACCACATTCTATATTTTTGGTTAGGAAACATATTTTTTAGTAATATAAATATTTATTCCAAATTTCAAGTTTCTATTATTATTCATTTTTGAATTATAACTGAATTTATAAATCATTCAAGATTTCAAATTTTCAAACGTGCTACCTCGTGAAACTATCGTCTGAAGTCTAACCAACAAAGCGTTTGCATGTAAAAACATAATAAATGCCAACACATTAATATATCTTTTTTTATAGGCATCGGTTTATCCAGCTTGGTGATGTAATTTTTCGTATTCGTCTATTAAAACGTGATCAGTGAATACTCTTTACTATTTCTTCCTGGCGATACAATATTAGCATTAGACAGCAGAAGTCCCACCGAAGAGTTTTACAAGTACTTGTACAACTTAATATAATTATAAAAACAAATAACGTAAGAAAAAAATTATTTGTATTGTATAGGATAAAGTTATAACAAACGTGGGTATACCTATTATTATAACATATTATAATAGATAAAGTATAATACCTATACTTAACACCCCACAATTGAACTGCATAGAATTATAAATTATTACACTTCATCGTGTTTTAATTGTCTCATTGTATATGACATTGTGACGGGCATAATACAATGTGTGTAAGAAAAAAATACTCTGCTTGACTATCCCTCGACGACCACTATTGTAAAACATGAATATCTCATAATATACCTAATATTATATTGATATAATAATATTCAGTTTAAAGTGTTTATTGCATTAAATATAGTAATAACGACCCACTTTTATGCTTCGTAAACTGCTAAAAATTAACCGAATATATTCGGAACTATTCCTTATAGTACCTATATTATACACTTAATACACTTTATATATGTGTATCTCAGTTTTAGTATACATCCGTGTTCCTCACTTCACGAACAAATCAGCTTCAGTGTTTGCCTAGCTTTTGAAATAATTCGGATGCGCAACCACCAGTCACAATCAAGATTGGATTTAGCACTTGGAATGTATATTTTCAAGTGGTTAAAACTAATTACTCTCTAAACTTTTCTCACATCTCTAAAATCAATCTCTGAGATTTTCGTTCAATTCAATATTGAGTTGTTTTTGAGAATAATAAGCTCATACATTTCAACATTTGGTTTTAAGATATAGTTTCTTTTTTCGAGGCGTGACAATTTGTTGCAAGTTTGTAAGTAGGTACCTACCTGATATGCCTGAGTAATTAATGTCAACCATTTAAATATATATAAAAAAAAAATTTGAATTTATACTATTAATTGTATAATCTGCATCATATGGCAACCATTAATAAACAACAACAAAAAGTTACAATTTGCACCGTTAATCTCAAGATTCTTGTTTGACTGTGTCTATAAAATGCAGGGTACATTGGATAATAATATCTTATTGTACACCTAGAGCATTATAATTTAGAGGAACCACTATTCGAAAGTTAAAATTCGTTCATTTTGTAGTATATATTATTGTTTAATGTTTCATTAATAATATTTTTATAAAAATACAAATTATATACAAATAACTCACAAATACATTTATTTCATACTAATTTTTCATATATATAATATATTATATAACTGTATAAGTAATTTTTAAATTATTATGAAATATATTTTATTGTAATAGTTCTTTTACATTTTAATGTGCTCAAATTAAAATAAGAATAGATTTAGACATCTGTGCATATTGTAATAATGTAATACAACCAATCTGTCCAATATTGTGTACCAGAACGGCAGAACCAAATTATGTTTACATTATATTTTAAAAAGTATTGTTTGTATCGTATGTATCATTATTATATAAAATTATAATATGATTAGTTGATCAATCAAAATATGCATTTTAATCTATTTCTTACCACCTTTTAATATTCTAAAGAGTCCAAAAAAACTCTTTTCAGGATTCAAAATTATAAATCTGTCACTATCTAAACCTCTTATGGATAAGTTATCTTTCGAATTGAAATATATTAGACCTCCAGTGTAACACGAATCTGATGCTTGATTATCTTGATGTCGAGTTGAAGTACAACCAAGTATTTTTTCATCATTTTTCATAACATAGTATCCATTGATGTCATGTTTATCTGAATAGTATATCTATAATAAAAAAAATAATAAACTTAGGTTAGGTTTATTTCATAAATTTCATCTATAATAACTAAATTATTCTTAACAATGTTAATATTATTATTATTTTAATGAACTTAAGCCCAGTGCTTATTGCCATTAGCTGTTGTAGGAGATTATGAACTATGGTTGGTGAGGTTGTTACGTTAGGTATGTAAGCAAATACGTGTATGTGTGCAAGGTTTGTACTACTACGAACCCGGGTGGTTACCCATCCGGAAACTATAAGCAGCGAGCTTTACTTACTCTCAGTCGCATTCCGCGCCCCGCCGAGCCACATGTTAATATTATGATTATAATACATATATTAACTGAACTTTTAATATTTAATTATAAATTCTGTAATGAAAATCGAAAATAATTTTTAGAAGGAATGAAGTAAAAAATTGTTTTAGAAATTGTTATATTTAAAAAAAAAACACTGCCTTTGTTATTGAAATATGATTGCTATCCTAAAATACATACTATGTAAGTATGTAACCTAGTTTAATAATATGTACTATGTTCTTACTTGAGCATAAACAAAATAAAGTCCAGGATTTAATACTTCAACTTTGCCATTTTTCATTACGAAATGATTTGAGTTGTCTAGATTTATATCCCAACGATGTTGGGTCCAGTCTCTAAAATCACCATCTGGGTGTTTCAGACGTCCATTTCCTATGAAATTGAAATTTAATTATTTTCTTTAATTGCTTAAAATTAATAAGAATAATCAATTAATAATGTAAAATTTAAAGACATTCAGTGGTGGATTGAGGTGGGGGGATGGATGACGGGCCTGCCTTCCCCCTTGGTAGTTATAAATTCGTAGTTGTAATAATATGAGTAAATAATGATTATAAGTCATCGTTTAGACCATATCCGGCACCGTCCGTTTTCGTCGTATTCGCTAGTGTGAGTGTGAAGAACGACCGATCACCGTGATTACTGATTACTAAAAAATCGATAGACGATAATGATATTATGAATAAAGTTTCAATGATGACTGTAATCTTATCTGTATTTTATATTTTGTATTCGATAACTTTTACAACACCTATAGGCTATAATGCAATTATTTGAAAATATAAACGTGTAATAACCTAGTTCATGTATGTATTGTGCCAATGTGCTATCATGCATCGTGGTACCGATCGTTCGTAATATTGTTTATAATAATGTCACGAAAACACCAGAGTGAATTTTTGACATATTTTTAAAAAAAAAATTTAAGTTAATGTCGATAATAATACTCCTTCTACAAGTATCAACTAAATTATAAAAATATATCATCACTCATCAGACACTAATATGATTACTCCAGAAAGATATTCATAAAGAAATTGATGTAATACGAGAAGACGTTATAGATCTCTTCTCCAAACAACAACCTAAACGTTTACATTTTTCTTTACAATAATATTTAAATTAATTTGATACATTTTAATGTTTTTTTTTCTAGTTTTCTAGTTTTTTTATTTTATAATATATCAGTTGTTCAAAACTGTCTTTAGAAATTAATTTAAATTTAAATTAAATTTTTCGTGTTGGAAAAATTTGAGTTAGGTATACTTTATTTGAAGACTTAACATCAAATCCTAAATATTGTGCTTACAAAATTTTGATGAAAAGTGTTACCCCCCAAATTAATAATATTATATTATTAAATAGTAAACTTTAAAAAAAAAATGGGGGGGGAATGTCAGCATCAAAAATATATGGGGGGGATGTGCTACTACACCGAAAACGGTGAGAGGGGGAAATGTCCACGATTCTTAGTTTTGTTAGCTTTAATGTAATAAACACATTACCTGTGTTTTCTTGTTGGTTTTTTACGATATTTTAATTTTTAAGTGATATGTGAGCATTTTCAATTATTAATATTTTACATACTCATAACTAATTTGGAAATTAAATTATTGTAAAAAAAACCAACAAGAGAATACAGATAATGTTCTTACATTTAAGTTTGATAACAGTGGCATAATTATTGGGGGGATACCAAAAAATAAAGATGGTCTTTATTAATTTATAAATCATACATTTAATTTAATTTAATTGTTTACGTTATTATCTTTGAATTACCATTGGCCATTTACCTCATTTAATTTATAATAATAAATGAATATTGAATATAATAATATTATTATGTGTGAAAGTTAAGTAACAAAGGGGGTATTTAGAGCATAGCTATCAATTATAAAAACTTATATCCCACCCCGGAACCAAGTCCGAATTACGCCACTGTTTGATAATGTATTATTAATTCTCTCTAATATTTAAGCTAACAACACAAAATTGGAACTTTTGTATATTTTGATATATTATATTCGTTAGTGAGACGGAGACTACATATATAGGTGCAATCTCTTCTTAAGTTAAATTATATGTTTTATTTAAAAATTATTATTACCATTGTAATGTGGATGTATTTTGGTACTATATTTTGAAGAATCGCTTACAAAATGTGCTGCAGCATAATCTTCGTACGATTCTTCACTGTCTGATTCATTAATCCGTTTTTTTATTAGAGTTGTCATTTTTTTAGACTTTGGTTGTCTATAGGTCTTCACTGTATTTCCTTCTTGAATCATTTCTACATCTGCCTTTCCATTTGTTGACCTTTAATTAAAAATTAAAATTATAATTCAATTCAATTAGTTAGTTGATATTTTATTTATTTTATCTTTTGAGTAATCTTTTTAATCCATTATTTAAATAATTAACTTAATATAATGTGTGTGTATAATGTTAGCCTGATATGAAATTACCTAGCTGTAATTATTACATTATACAATATTATTTCATAAAATATTACTAGCCGTTATTAATTTATAATTCAATACCAACATACCACATGGTAGAACGGTTTAAATGTTCGTGGTATGAATTAAAATAGCTTAAAATTAATGTAAATATTTTGAAAATCGAATTGAGCACAGAAAAAACGAAACAGTTGTTTGTACTATAACAATAGTAGGATTAACTGTACATTATAATTGCTATAGGGATAGCTATGAGGTTAGTCAGATTTACTAAAATATCATAGCCAAGTTATTATAGTTATTCGAACTGAAATATGCTATTATACAGACTTGGGTAAAATACTTTTTAAAAGTATTTCAAATACATTTTCCGAATACTTAAAAAAAAGTATTCAGAGTATGTATTCGAATACTTTATGATACTAATATTCCGAAGTATTTGGAATACTTCACAAAAAGTATTCCAAATATTTTTCGAATATTTTTTTTAGTAGATTTAGATTTCAATATCAAAAATATTATTTTTTTTAAATTCTTTGTTTATAAATGAACATTATTATAATTTCGATAATACACAAATATCTGGCTACCTATTAGTTATAAATTATATTCAAATTAATATAGTTAATAACTAATAAGTAATAATCAGTAATATATTAGATTATACCTATATAAAAATAAATAAGTATTCCGAATACTGTACTCCGAATACTCGTAAAAAGTATTCAAAATACCGTATTGAATACTTTCAAAAAAAGTATTTAAAAAGTATTCAGAATACTTAAAAAGTATTCCGAATACTGTATTCGGAATACTACCCAAGTCTGGCTGTAAATTTTATATAGTAGGTACCCATGATCTATAGATTATTGTGCCTCCATAATCTAACTTAAATGAATAAAATAATTGTACCTATTGAAAAAAATATGATTTACATTTATTGTGTTCTTACTAAAAAAGAAACTTTATTTATATTAGTTGAATATCAATAAGATCCAATTAAAAAGGTTTACCTACAAGGAATAATGTTCTTAATGTCTATATGCATGATAGTCAACTTTTGTGTCACATAAGGCATAGTTTAAAATGTATTATGTGACACATACTTGACTATGCATACTGGCGTAAGTGTATACAAAAAATTACCTATTTAATTCATTTTTTCCTATTGTTGTTGCATTAATCCCAGCGTTACGTCGTTCTCGGTTTTTTGGTTTATTTGATTCATTTGCCTGATATTGATTTGCTGGCAAATTATTGTCCAATAAGTCTCTGCCCAAAAATCGATCTCCTTCATCAAAACCTTCTGCCACTTCTTCATAGTCGTTACCATACATTTTAGATTTATGTTGATATTTGTATGTATTGCTTACGTGTTTGGCTACAAGTTCATCTCTAACTCTGTCAGTGAAGGTATTAAAATCACGAATTGCATCCTTAACTGTCCCTACAAGTTGATTGATTGGTTGATTAGTGTCCATGTGGAATTTGTAGGACAACGTAACAGTCAATAGACAGCTGAATATGCACAATAAAACTGAAAAAACTAGAACAATTATTTGTATCGGCATAGAATATTTTGGAGATTGTTCGGTAGACGGCAACATGTTGAAATTACGAGAGAATCCGTTGCCTGCAACTTCCATGTTTTGATAATTTTGTATGTTGTATGCTTTATATGTTGGTGGTTAACATACATCTGGGACGTAGCAGAGCAAATCTTGTTCTGTAATGATTTCCATGATGTTTCTTTTATAACATCAAATATTTTTTGAACCCGGGTATGTAAAGTAAACACTTTTATCTAATCTTTAAATAAACTTTGGTATTTTGTCAATAGAAATGTAAATAGTTTCATTTGTGTGATTAATACTGATCCATATTGATTTATAATTTACTTCGGTGTTATTATATAAAATAACTATAGCATTGAGTCTACTAAAATTTAATAGGAGTAAGAAATTTTTAGTGTTTATTTAGGTCTTATGTAGGTACGTATTAATACGTTATATTATATTATATACTTGTTAAACTATCAATAGGTATGTATCCAAATGTCGAAATACCTACTATGACTATGGTTTACTCAACGCCATAACAGGACGTACTGAATCAACTAACTATTTATGTAACAGTAATAGGTACATAAAATAATACATATTATTCGGTATTTATTTTTATTTTTCATAATAAATCGTTATTTTCTTTTAATCAATTTTGCGGGCTTACAATACCTACAAATATTACCAACTAAAAATGAACAAGTAATTTTTTATCAATCGTTTATATTATTTATAGTTAAAATATCTAATTGATCATTGACGAATTTGTTTTACAATTAGTATTAATTGGTCTAAAATCATAGGAGATAATAATAAAATGCCCTGTCACAGGGATTGAGTAGGATTAGGACATTCGCCACAAGGCAAGACTAAAAAGAGCGAGTTTATTAATTTTGTGTTATGAATTATTATGATATTAAATTTGAAAACATTGAGCAATAGTTAAGGATTTAAAATTGCATTTAATAAAGAACGCCCAACAAAAACAGCAATTTCAACTCAAAACAAATTTTAAAATGTCTTCAATTTGTATTTAGTTTTCTAACACACATAAGACACTATAGGTACTCGGAAAATTTGATCCACGTGTGTAGTTTCTTTTGTGTCAGCAAACTCACCACCTAATTTTATAGTATTATCATTAATTAACTTAAAAAGTGGTTTTTGGCCAAATTCAGATCTAGTCAGTACTTGGAGGGTAACAAGTAAAAAGTTTCAGTACTTGGTATTTGCCTTGATATTAATACATAATCTAAGTTTTAACAATTTAACTCAAGATTCTTATAAAATTATTTTAATTAAAAAAAAAAAATAGACTAAGCCACATTATTTTTAACTATTTTACTGATCATTAATAATTAATAATTTTTTTTAATTTTTAATGATTTATCGTCTAACGGTTTTTGTTTATTCGTACAATATTAACTGTTAAAACTTGAAACTGTCCACTATATTATCATTACTTGATATATTTTTATAATATACAGACACATAACCATAAGTATGCACTTTTTTTAAGGATAGGTATATTAAATTCAAATTTTTGTGAAATCGGATATTCAAGGAATACCTAAATAACAATTATTGTTGTTTTGTTACTATTCAAAAAGTATTATTAATAGGAACATTTCGCCACTAAGACTAAGTACTACCTATGTATACCTTCTATAAACATCATTACATTTACTTTACTCACGAAAAAAAAAATTGTTACCTATAATATTACAGTTACACAAAATACAAATTATAGTAAATATGACTATTTAATAGGTAAAATAACTAAAATGATTTACTTATTAAGACTATAATATAAATATAGTTATTTGTTGTATGGTGATGTCTACTATATTTTATAGTTAACTCAGTTTTTAATGATTGAATTAACTAAAAATATAGTTATAATAGCATATTTCAGTTCGAATAACTATAATAACTTGGCTATGATATTTTAGTAAATCTGACTAACCTTATAGCTATCCCTATAGCAATTATAATGTAGGTACAGTTAATCCTACTATTTTTATAGTACAAACAACTGTTTCGTTTTTTCTGTGCTCAATTCGATTTTCAAAATATTTACATTAATTTTAAGCTATTTTAATTCATACCACGAACATTTAAACCGTTCTACCATGTGGTATGTTGGTATTGAATTATAAATTAATAACGGCTAGTAATATTTTATGAAATAATATTGTATAATGTATACGAATTGTTTTTTTCAAACATTTGTTCAAAGCGTATGATACTAATATAAAACTAAATTAGATACTCATAGTAATATTATAAATATATAATAGAATATTCTTATAAACATAGGCTGCAACAGATCATTTCAGGTCATTCCTAAGAATCGTTTTTCATAAGTATGCAACGATTCATCGTTGAAATCAAATTAAATATATCCATTACAGTCTCCTATACCTAATGTACACATACTATAATACAGCAGAAAGAGTTCCTCTTTTTTGTTTGTTTTATTTTATATGAATATAATTCAAACATTAACCAAAAATGCTGGACAAGTGGGTACAGCTCTGCTGTACAGTAGTTGTGGAGTATGTCATTGTTATGGATGTTTATATTTGAATTCAATGATAAATCATTGGATACGAAAAACGATTCTGAGCAGAAAATGTGCGTTATCCTAGGCCTAGCTCAGTGGTACCGAACACGTATGGCTACTGGGGTAAATACCCCATAACTTTTGTAGGTGGTGTGTGCGGGTAGGTGGGTGACTGCTTAGTGCTTTCAGGTCTTGTTGAATTCGATAAATTACTACTGAATATACAATATAGTAAAAATTATACAGGGTGTTTCTGAAATGAATGAGGAAACTAGTATATGCGTACTCAGTGTGATGCGACCCAATGATGATTTTTTTGAAAATTTTTTTCTACCTTCAAAATCTGGGTTTTTTCAATTTATTTTTAGAACATTATCTTAAATGTAAAAATAAATACTCAAGTTGTATTTTTTGTAAAAATCTCATACGAATCGAGGTGTCACATCATTTTTGAGCTTGTCGCGCGTTTTTCACGCTCGAACCGCCGATTAAAAAAAAATGGTGTGGCACATCGATTTGTATGAGAAAACTACAAGATAAACAGTGGTAATAGTTATTTGTTGAAATTTAACATACACGATTAATTAACACATTGTTTTACATTGTCAACTAATAAAAATGATAAATAATAACATAATTAGGGTTAACAGAGTCTTAAATGATCGAATTTATGTGTTAATTAATCGTGTATGTTAAATTTCAACAAATAACTATTACCACTGTTTATCTTGTAGTTTTCTCATACAAATCGATGTGCCACACCATTTTTTTTTAATCGGCGGTTCGAGCGTGAAAAACGCGCGACAAGCTCAAAAATGATGTGACACCTCGATTCGTATGAGATTTTTACAAAAAATACAACTTGAGTATTTATTTTTACATTTAAGATAATGTTCTAAAAATAAATTGAAAAAACCCAGATTTTGAAGGTAGAAAAAAATTTTCAAAAAAATCATCATTGGGTCGCAT